GAAACTTCCAGCTTATTGCCTTAAAGCAGTGGTTCTCAACCTGTGAGTCCCCAGGTGTTTTGGCCTACAACTCCCAGAAATCCCAGCCAGTTTACTAGCTGTGAGGATTTCTGGGAGATGAAGGCAAAAACATCTGGGGACCCACAGGTTGAGAACTTATTGCCTTAAAGAGATCACTCTTTGTGAACAATAAAACTTATTTTGAGTAATCTACAGTGTTTTGGGTATTTGAGAGTTCCAGTTTCCTAAAGGAGGGCAAGAAGCAATCCCCTGGGGAAAGATGTCACATCCATACCTCTTTCACTAAGAGCTATAGCCCCCAGGCACGATGGCACTGCAAAGGCAGAGTGTTATCTTCTGTCTGCTTGATCCAGAATTCTCTCCTTACGAACATGGTCATATAACTCGGGCTGAAAGGATCTTTGAGTGAAATTTGCAAATACTAAGCAAGGGGCTTTGAATGAAATTAACAGCAAAAGAGAAATATACCCTTTCTCTGTAGAAAAGGAGCAACAGGGAAGAAAATATTTTTAAGAAACAAGATGTGACATGTAGAGGTCATACAAAATTCAAGCCTACATAGGAAGTAGTTGTGTTGTGGTTAAGTTCAAAGGTTGAGGTAGGCAGGTCTCATGAAGGTTGTTGTTCATTCGTTCAGTCGTCTCCGACTCTTCGTGACCTCATGGACCAGCCCACGCCAGAGCTCCCTGTCGGCCGTCACCACCCCCAGCTCCTTCAAGGTCAATCCAGTCACTTCAAAGATGCCATCCATCCATCTTGCCCTTGGTCGGCCCCTCTTCCTTTTTCCTTCCCCAGCATAATTGTCTTCTCTAGGCTTTCCTGTCTCCTCATGATGTGGCCAAAGTACTTCAACTTTGTCTCTAGTATCCTTCCCTCCAATGAGCAGTCGGGCTTTATTTCCTGGAGGATGGACTGGTTGGATCTTCTCGCAGTCCAAGGCACTCTCAGAACTTTCCTCCAGCACCACAGTTCAAAAGCATCTATCTTCCTTCGCTCAGCCTTCCCTAAGGTCCAGCTCTCACATCCGTAGGTGACTACAGGGAATACCATGGCTTTGACTAGGCGGATCTTTGTTGCCAGTCTGATGTCTCTACTCTTTACTATTTTATCGAGACTGGACATTGCTCTCCTCCCAAGAAGTAAGTGTCTTCTGATGTCCTGGCCACAGTCTGCATCTGCAGTCATCTTTGCACCTAGAAATACAAAGTCTGTCACGGCCTCCACATTTTCTCCCTCTATTTTCCAGTTGTCAATCATTCTTGTTGCCATAATCTTGGTTTTTTTTGATGTTTAGCTGCAACCCGGCTTTTGCGCTTTCTTCTTTCACCTTGATTAGAAGGCTCCTCAGCTCCTTCTCGCTTTCGGCCATCAGAGTGGTGTCATCTGCATATCTGAGGTTGTTAATGTTTCTTCCAGCAATTTTCACCCCAGCTTTGCATTCATCAAGCCCCGCACATCGCATGATGTGTTCTGCATACAAGTTAAAAAAGTTGGGTGAGAGTATGCAGCCTTGCCATACAAGAAGGTACTTTCCATCAAAAGGTCAAGGAAGGGGGCTGGAAAGAGAGTACTTTCCATGACCAAAAAAATGTTCTTGTTTACTTGAGTATAAAAGTCAGCAGAAACAGAGGAGCAGTGCAGCTGTCACTTGAAGGGTAGCATCTGCATATGCTGCCAGGCTGTCCGTCTTCTTCATGAAGAAACTAAAATAAACCTTGTTTTTTTAAATCTTTTTTTTTGGGACTGTCTCCTTCCTTATGTGTTCCCGTGATGTGGACCTAAGAAGACTCAATTTAGGTTCTCTAACAGGGCTATATGGCCATGTTCTAGAAGCATTCTCTCCTGATGTTTTGCCTGCATCTATGGCAAGCATCCTCAGAGGTTGTGAGTTCCTTGTCTGTGTTTGCAAGTTCTTTGTGGATGGTGTGAATTATCTCTCGTAAGAGGTTGTGTTCCAGGCTGTCATAGATCTGGTGAGCCTGTGGTGTTTTGAAAGTCCGTTTGGATGTGAGAAATTGTGAGATAGTATCTGTGTCTCTGCAGCATAGAAGGAAAGTCAGGGAGCACAGTAGATGTGCTGTCCTGGCCCTTAGTTTTTCCAATTTTAGTGTGCCTTGGAACAGTTTCTCCCCGTAGAGATGTTAAATGTATTGTCGAAGGCTTTCATGGCTGGAATCACTGGGTTGTTGTAGGTTTTTCAGGCTATATGGCCATGTTCTAGAAGCATTCGCTCCTGATGTTTTGCCTGCATCTATGGCAAGCATTCTCAGAACCTCTGAGGATGCTATATGGGCATGTTCTAGAAGCATTCTCTCCTGACGTTTTGCCTGCATCTATGGCAAGCATTCTCAGAACCTCTGAGGATGCTTGCCATAGATGCAGGTGAAACGTCAGGAGAGAATGCTTCTAGAACATGCCCATATAGTCCGAAAAACCTACAATGCTTTTCTTAATGGCAAAATGACCATTTTCAATACATTGTTACATTGCTCCAATTTAGAGCACAAAGTGTGTTATTTTCTGTTAGATAAACATGTCCCTTCTACCCATGTAATATCTCTCCCTGCTGTCTCTGATAACAGTTTGAATTTGAGACCCTCCCTGGCAGGATACTCAGTAATGGGAGTAATATATGTAATTCCTTTATGCTTGTGAGTAAACAGTATTTCTTGTTTCTTTGTCAATGTTGATGTGGAGAGTGTCTAGTTTGCCTACTCTGGAACATGCAACATATCATAGTCCTTTAAGGGTCTCTTTCAAATCTATGATACTATATCTGTGTGTGAGAGAGAATCGTATCTATCTATCTATCTATCTATCTATCTATCTATCTATATCTATGGCTGGATGGCTCTTTGTCAGGAGGGCTCTGATTACATTTTCTTGCCCTGGTGAAGAGAGTTGGACTGGATGGCCTTAAGTATTTTCTGTTGGTCATGGGGGTTCTGTGTGGGAAGTTTGCCCCAATTCTGTCGTTTATGGAATTCAGAATGCTATTTGATTGTAGGTGAACTATAAATCCCAGCAACTACAACTCCCAATTGTCAAGGTCTATTTCCCTTAAACTCCATCTGTGTTCATATTTGGGCATATGGAATATTCGTGTCAAGTTTGGTCCAGATCCATCATTGTTTGAGTCCACAGTGCTCTCTGGATGTGGGTGAACTACAATTCCCAAACTCAAGGTCAATGCCCACCAAACCCTTCCAGTGTTTTCTGTTGGTCATGGGAGCCCTATGTGCTAAGTTTGGCCCAATTCCATCATTGGTGGAGTTCAGTATGCTCTTTGATTGTAGGTGAACTATAAATCCCAGCAACGACAACTCCCAAATGACAAAATCATTTTTTTAGTGAAGGACATACATTGAGTTGTTAGGTGTCTTGTGCCCAAATTTGGTGACAATTCGACCAGTGGTTTTTGAGTTCTGCGAATACCACAAACGAACATTACATTTTTATTTATATAGATTTTGACATTGGTTTTAGCAGCTTTTTGAAGGAAGTGATGTAGACATAAGAATGTCAATGTTATATTAATCTAGTTCTCCAAATACTATCCATTTATTTATTTACTCTGCTTAATTTATATCTGTCCCTTCCTCTTTTCATATGAAACAGGACCATTTATGTCTGATTATCCCTTTTTTTACTTTCAGAGCAGCCTTGTGAGATAGGTTAGACCAAGGGTTCTCAAACCTTTTAAACAGAGGGCCAGATCACAGTCCCTCAAACTGTTGGAGGGCCAGATTATAATTTGGGGAAAGAATTGAATGAATTCCTATGAACACTGCACATAGCTTATTTTATTTATTTATTTATTTATAATTTTTATATACCGGTCTTTTCACCTCCGGAGAGGAACTCAGGCCGGTTTACAACAAGATTCGTGAACAGTAGTTTAAAAACATCACACCACATAACATTCTAATACATAAAAATACATTAAAAAGCAGTCATGTACTTACATAAGGCCAAGTCATCAAAGAGAAAACAAAATTCATTATTCATTACCATCCCTCCGTGTGGTCAAAAGTTATTGACTTACTCATCAAATGCTAAATTCCAGAGCCAGGTCTTCACCAATTTTCTAAAAGTCAGGAGAGAAGGTGCAGTTCTAATCTCCAGTGGGAGAGAGTTCCAGAGCCGAGGGACCACCACCGAGAAGGCCCTGTCCCTCGTCCCCACCAGACGCATTGCGAGGGTGGTGGGACCGAGAGCAGGGCCTCTCCAGAAGATCTTAACAACCTTGATGGTTCATAGGGGAGAATCCGTTCGGACAGGTAAACTGGGCCGGAGTCGTTTAGGGATTTATAGGTCAACACCAGTACTTTGAATTGTGCTCGGAAGCTGATTGGCAGCCAGTGGAGCTGGCGCAACAGAGGAGTAGTATGCTCCCTGTACCCCGCTCCTGTTAGTAATCTGGCTGCCGCTCATTGGACTAGTTGAAGCTTCCGGGCAGTCTTCAGAGGCAACCCCACGTAGAGAGCGTTGCAGTAGTCTATACGGGATGTAACCAGAGCGTGGACCACCGTGGCCAAGTCAGACTTCCCAAGGTACGGGCACAGTATTTTCAGTGCAAAAAATAATACAATAATTAAAATGAAGGACAATTTTGACAAAAATAAACTTATTAGTATTTCAATGGGAAGTGTGGGCCTGCTTTTGGCTGATGAGATAGGATTGTTGTTGTTGTGTGCTTTCAAGTCATTTCAGACTTAGGTTGACCCTGAGCAAGGGCCGGATAAATGACGTTGGTGGGCCATATTCGGCCCTCGGGCCTTAGTTTGAAGACCCCTGGGTTAGACAGAGGAAGAGTGACTATTCCTAGATAATCCAACTTTCAACCTCTGTCAATGCAACAATTTTGCTTCAGTGTTCCATTCCTCACCACTTGCTAGTTAGAGACATGCTGGCTTCATGTTCAGGGTTTATGCCTTTTTCTCTGCAGACTATCACAAAATGATGACTAGATCACTTACCTGCAGTGATAATGACAGCAGCCAGGAGCATAAAGGGCACCCAAGCAGGGCAAATTGCTTTCATTTCTATGTAGCTGGCACTTTCTCCTTGAGACTGATCTTCTCTGAGATGAAGGACAAACAGGTTTCTGCTGGGCTGCAGCGTGGATGATATGCTACTTCTGCTGGGCTAGATAAGCCAGGAGTGAGTTTCCAGGCTGAAAATATTGGGGGAGGGACTGTTTCCATTCACAACATTTCCGGATATGATCCAGGGAAGATTAAGCAGCACTGGGCACCTTTCATTTCAGTGAGAGACTTCAGTCACGGATGCCCCTTGAGGTCTCTCCCAACTCTATGAATGTGTGAATCTAGAGTGAGTCTTATAGCACCTTGAAAACTAACATTCAGAAGACTTTGGGTGTTTTGACACTATAAAACTATTGTTGTTGTTCATTCGTTCAGTCGTTTCCAACTCTTGGTGACCTCAAGGACCAGCCCATGCCAGAGCTCCCTGTTGGCTGTCACCACCCCAAGTTCCTTCAGAGTCAAGCCAGTCACTTCAAGGTTGCCATCCATCCACCTTGCCCTTGGTCGTCCCCTCTTCCTTTTTCCTTCCATTTTCCCCAGCATCATTGTCTTCTCTAAGCTTTCCTGTCTTCCTCATGATGTGGCCAAAGTACTTCATCTTTGCCTCTTCTATCCTTCCCTCCAATGAGCAGTCAGGCTTTATTTCCTGAAGTATGGACTGGTTGGATTTTCTCGCAGTACAAGGCACTCTCAGAACTTTCCTCCAGCAGCACAGTTCAAAAGCATCTATCTTCCTTCGCTCAGTCTTCCCTATGATCTAGCTCTCACATCCGTAGGTGACTATGGGGAATACCATTGCTTTAACTATGTGGATCTTTGTTGCCAATGTGATGTCTCTACTCTTCACTATTTTATCGAGATTGGTCATTGCTCTCCTCCCAAGAAGTAAGCATCTCCTGATTTCCTGGCTGCAGTCTGTGTCTGCAGTAATCTTTGCACCTAGAAATACAAAGTCTGTCACTGCCTCCACGTTTTCTCCCTCTATTTCCCAGTTGTCAATCATTCTTGTTGCCATAATCTTGTTTTTTTTTATGTTTAACTGCAACCCAGCTTTTGCACTTTCTTCTTTCACCTTGATTAGAAGGCTCCTCAGCTCCTCCTCGCTTTCGGCCATCAAAGTGGTGTCATCTGCATATCTAAGGTTGTTAATGTTTCTTCCAGCAATTTTCACCCCAGCCTTGCATTCATCAAGCCCCGCACATCGCATGATGTGTTCTGCATACAAGTTGAATAGGTTGGGTGAGAGTATTCAACCCTGCCGTTATTTTATTTATTTATCGAGTCATCAGCAACCAGTCATTTATATTACATTTCTAACAGAACAAAGTAAACAAACAGACAAGATACAAAAATACAAAATGTATGAGTTTGGTAGTTGATTAAATGTCCTTTGACCAGTATCTGGACACTTGGAGTGCTTCTGGTGTTGCTGCAAGAAGGTCCTCCATTGTGCATATGGCAGGGCTCAGGTTGCATTGCAGCAAGTGGTCTGTAGTTTGCTCTCCTCCACACTCGCATGTCGTGGATTCCACTTTGTAGACCCATTTCTGAAGGTTGGCTCTGCATCTCATGGTGCCAGAGTGCAGTCTGTTCAGCGCCTTCCAAGTAGTCCAGTCCTCTGTGTGCCCAGGGGGGAGTCTCTCATCTGGTATCAGCCATTGGTTGAGGTTCTGGGTTTGAGCCTGCCGCTTTTGGACTCTCACCTGCTGAGGTGTTCCAGCGAGTGTCTCTGTAGATCTTAGAAAACTATTTCTAGATTTAAGTCGTTGACGTGCTGGCTGATACCCAAACAAGGGATGAGCTGGAGATGTCACTGCCTTGGTCCTTTCACTATTGGCTGCTACTTCCCAGCAGATGTCAGGTGGTGCAATACCGGCTAAGCAGTGTAATTTCTCCAGTGGTGTAGGGCGCAGACACCCCGTGATAATGCGGCATGTCTCATTAAGAGCTACATGGTGTGGTGAGATGTGTTCCACACTGGGCATGCATACTCAGCAGCAAAGTAGCACAGTGCAAGGGCAGATGTCTTCACTGTGTCTGGTTGTGATCCCCAGGTTGTGCCAGTCAGCTTTTGTATGATATTGTTTCTAGCACCCACTTTTTGCTTGATGTTCAGGCAGTGTTTCTTGTAGGTAAGAGCACGGTCCAGAGTGACTCCCAGATATTTGGGTGCGCTGCAATGCTCCAGTGGGGTTCCTTCCCAGGAGAGAGATAAGTTGAGTTGGTATGCCTATAGAACTATAGACACCACTTTAACTGCCATGGCTCAGTGCTGTGAAATCTTGGGTGTCTTACAAGGTCTGTTGCTTTTCTACTAAAGTGTGCTACTGCCTCAGCAAACTACAACTTCCACGATTCCATAACATTGAGCCATGGCAGCTATGCAAAAGTATCAAAGGATTCAGAAGGGGGAAAGTCTTGCATTATATGTTTAGATACTTCTGTTGCATCTCTCCTCACTGTTCATGGGACCCCAGTTCTTTTTAGATTTCCCTTTCAAAGAATCATAGACTCATAGAATTGGAAGAAACCGCAAGGGCCATCCAGTCCAATTCCATTTTGTTATGCAGGAAAACACAATCAAAGCATTTCTGACAGATGGCCATGCAGCCTCTGCTTAGAAACCTCCAGAAAAGGAGACTCTGCACACTCTGAGAAAGCGTAGTCCACTGTCTAACAGCTTTTACTGTCAGGAAGTTTTTCTTGAGTAAGTGCTCTTTCCTGAGTAAAACACTGACTCCTGTCTACTTCAGCTTGCTATTGCAATCTTATCTATTCTGTTTCTTATTTTACTATGCCTAGCTTGCCTTGATTAATTCTTCCTACAGAATATCTTCTTCATCTTTGGATTTTACTTTCAAGTCTGAGTATGTCAACAGCTCAATATCCTTTCAGCTTGAGTCCAGTCACATCATTAGCCATAGCAGTACTCATAGCTGCCCTCTGCTCTTCCCACACAGCTCAATTGGTGTTTTGTCGAAGGCTTTCATGGCTGGAATCACTGGGTTGTTGTAGGTTTTTTCGGGCTATATGGCCATGTTCTAGAGGCATTTTCTCCTGACATTTTGCATGCATCTATGGAAAGCATCCTGAGAGGTATACTTCTGAAGATGCTTGCCATAGATGCAGGCGAAACGTCAGGAGAAAATGCCTCTAGAACATGGCCATATAGCCCGGAAAAACCTACAACAACCCAGCTCACTTGGTGTTGTTAACTTGGGAGCCCCATCTTCTTACTCTATCTCTTGTTTCTTTCTGGGTTGTTTCATCATAGAGTTGACATGGTAAAAACATTCCTTGAGGTTCCTACTTTTGCTCAGTACTAAGAAATGTTACCTATGGTGTCACTTCTGTTTTCACTGAGACAACAGCAGTGACATCAATCAATCCTACAGCTACCCAGTAGCTGTTAGGACCATATAGTTTGGCTCCTCAGCAAAAACGTGTCTGACATGGAAGACCCCCACCAGCACCTCTGTCGTTGGCATAACCTCTTGTCTCAAAGGAGTACCCAATCCCACCACCATGGAAATAGAGTACCATTGGTGCAGGTACTTCCAGATCAATCTCTACAAGGCAATTGTTATGTGATTTCAGTGGGTGGCGCAGTGGGTTAAACCCCTGTGCTGGCAGGACTGAAGACCGACAGGTCACAGGTTCGAATCCGGGGAGAGGCGGATGAGCTCCCTCTATCAGCTCCAGCTCCTCATGCGGGGACATGAGAGAAGCCTCCTACAAGGATTGATATCCCCCCAGGCGGCAGAATCTCCCGCCTTCAAGCTGGTCTGAACCGCAGCAGGGAGTTCCGCAGTTCCGGAGAGCCAAGTTGGGTCTGACTGATGGAATGTGCCCCAGCGAGCAGCTCAAGCTAAACTCAAGGCTGCAAGAAGCCTTTCTTTCACTTTCCCCTCTCCCTCTCTTTGTAACAAAGCCCCTAATAAAACACTTAAGATTTGAAACTTTAAATCCTTTCTGCTTGATACTTTGTGTCCTTTACTGACTGAAACTTTTCTAACATAAAATAAACCTTTTTCTGAGCTCCGGGGAACCGTGAGCTCACCGGGGATGCCTTCCCGGCCTCCCCGGGCCCCCAAATCTGCGTTAGTTAAAACCGCGGATACGGAGGTTTTCCTAATGGGCCCCCTTATCCGCCAAAACAACAACATGGCGGATCGGCCCCGTTCAAATTTCATATTTTTCTACATTAAATTCTAAGACTAACTGCCATCTTGGTTTTTTCATTTTGGACTCCTGCACCCGGGAAATAATTGTTTTTGTTTAAATATTAAATCTGGCCGAGTCAACAGCTGATTGTCAAATTTTCGCCGGCTTTTCCGGACTGCTTCATCCCGCTCGCTGCCGCTCGCTCCTGCATGGCCCCCGCCGCCGGGGACCCACCGCCGTTGCCCAAGGGGGAGCCTTGGGAGAGGAGGATCGGGCAGGGAGGCCCGATCCTCGGTTGGGAGCGCTAGTTTTACCAAGGACAGAGCAGTGGAACCCAGCCCCCCCTCCAGCTCCGGCTCCTGCTTCAAGGAAGAACCGATCTTCTGTTGGCCGGCCTGGACCATGGGCTGACCTCCACCTCCAAGCCCCTTCGCCCGGACTTTGGGATTTCCAGTTTTCCTTCCCTTTTTAATGAAATAAATAAAATATTTTCTTACTGTAATGAACTGGGGTTGGGATGGATTGTGGGTTGTAAAAATATGAAATGCCTGTAAGTTAGAGATGCCTATGCCTTGTGATTATGATATATGTAACCCTTATGAATTCCTCTGTATCCTCACCCCCTTGACACTCGCCCCACAAAACCGGCGTGACCAGGAACTGCCTGAGGAAAGAGCCCCAGCCTCTTCCTCAATCACCCATTGATTGACTTATCAGCATGGACAATACTGCTGATCCCCAACCCTAGCCATCGGAGCAAGGCCAGCGAGGGAAAGGGGTCAGCAGAGCCTCGGAAAGAAAGGACTGATATATCACCAAGATATTGTTGACCCTCCGGGTGGTCCGATATCGATCTAGCTTATTCAAAATGCTCCCCAAAACCCATCAAGGACTGGAAAGCTCTTTGTT